ATATATATATATATATAAATGAAGACATTCATTGAAAGACAAATGAATCTTGTTTTGAATAAAAGCAGTACAAGAGTCCAACTCCAAGGATGCTTTCCAAGAAACCGTTAAAGTATTTTAATCTGTGTTGTCCTTGAGCGGGGCGGGGGGTGGATATGGTAAACAAAGAAACACACACAAAAAGATGCTCCAACAAAGAGTTTTGAGGTGATTTCAAGAATAAAAGAACAAACTCAGTTTGCAATCATTATGTCACCCGATCTTTGAGGCGTTTACTAGAATTCTGAGAAACTTGTGGAGGTAATCAGCTTAACTAAAGGTGAAAGTGATCATAGTTCACATGAGGACTGCATGTCTTTTTTAAAATAAAAATTCAGTTTAAAATTAAAACATTTTGATTTGCTCTTCTGTACTGTCAAGTAAGGTATTGGAGGATCATAACTGAATGTAAATTAAATCATCGATGATCACAGTGAGTATAAAAAGGTCACCTCATAATGAGGCTCTGAACTCAGCTGATTCTCCCTAAACACTTCAGGCGCTCAGATGTTATCTGACGTCTCCAACTTTACATTGTAAAAGAGTTTTCTTTTCTCTACATCTCATCACATGCCTCTGTTTCAGTGGGCTGCACCACAGGACCACCATCCAGTCGTCACACGTTTAAGTTCAGTCACAAGACCAAAATGGGAGCATCTTCTTGGAGGGGAGGGCTTCTGCTCAACATTTTAAAAGTTAAATATTTTGTCATGGTGAATGAGTGATGGTTAGGGTTAGGGTTCTAAAAAAAAAACAATATTAATCTACCAACAAGCAGAAACTTGGTCTGGAAAAAGTCTCAGAACCAGAGAAAATCTTTAGTCAAGAAGTTAGTTAGATCTTTTTATTAGTGAAAATAATTTGATTAGATCTTATAGTGTACAGCTGAAAGAAATGAGGGACAGCAAAAATGTGAAAGAAAGGCTGAGTCGTCACATTGTTTTCTGATATGTAATTTGAGCCTGCAATATTCCACTTCAGTCACACCGTTCCCTCACCTGAGATGACGGCGTCCCCGTTGAGGAACATGCTGATGCCTATCATCATGAGGATGCCGAGGACCAGGATGTAGGGCCTCCGCCTGCCCCACGGCGAGCGGCAGTAGTCGCTGGCTGAGCCGATGATGGGCTGGAGCAGGAAGCCCAGGATGGGGCTGATTAGCCACACTAGACTGTAGAGACTGCGAGGCAGGCCCACGCTCAGCAGCACCGGCGTGACGAAGGCGGCCTCCACAGCGTAGCAGAACTCCCTGCCGAACATCACCAGGCTGTGGAGGATGAGGCGACCCCGAGAGCGCCTGTGAGGCTCCACGGCTCCGAACACAGCGCTGTCCAGGTAGTCCTCTTTGGAGCCAGGGTAGTCCATTGTGTACTGGTGCAACGACGTGCTGATGTGTTTGTCCGGTTCTGACAGCGCGTAGGGCTGGGGCCTCGCAGACTGGTCCCCAGACAACAGGGTCATGGTGGACAGCAGGGACAAAAAGCAAAGTACGAAGAGAAAGTTTGGAGGGAAATAGTTGGAAAGAGTCAAAAACGTAGAACGGTCTCCCTCTGTCAGCCAGGTGGAGGTTAAACGGCCGAACAAAATCCGTGCAGCGGTGCTCGGCTCAACTAATTTTCTTCTCTATCGCATAGCTGAGCAACGTCTCCAAGATCCATTCAGCCTTACTGAACAAGTGACAAGTTCTGTGGACTGCAGCAGAGCAGGTCCCAGGGAGGGAGGAGAGGATAAAAGTGGAAAAGTGGGTGTACATGCAGGATTATGATGCGTTGTTCCCCCCCCCCACCCCCCGGTCTCAGAAGTAGTAAAACACACCCGAGCAGGTCATGTGAGTGAGTTTGGACTAGTGATTCAAGAAAAAATGAAACTCAAAGAAACTTCTTGTTTCCTGCACATTCTTCTGACAGCACATGAGGCGTTCTGCTCTCGGGCATCAGTTCATCAAATCTGACTCAGACTGAATCCACATTATTTGACATTTTACCCACAAAACCTCAGACTCACAAACGGGATTTCAAGATAAGGGCCGGCCTTTGCAGTGGAAATCACTGGACCAAATAGGAAACTTGTCTAAACCAATGAATTAAAACACTGCTGTCATAACAGCAGATCTCACAGAATTTCTTAAAATGTGCAGACTTTTTAACAATAAATTGCTTAATGGAATGGAACTAGACTGGTTTTACTCACTATATTCACTCATGTTCAGATGTATCGAATCAGATGATATTTGGTATTTAAGTACTTAAAACAGTAACTAGCTGTTTTAAAAATGCATTTGTGCTGACAGGAAAATCAAGATCAATATTCTAATTCGCTGTTTCATAAAAATCAGAAGTTGAATAAAAATTTTAAATTTTTTTATGTTTGTTAAATCAGATTGCAGCTTTACATTCAATAATAAGTTAGCATTGTGTGATTCAATGGCATCCTGAACCAATCTTTGGGAACCACTTGTCTATAACGGTCTAAAGTCAGTGTGGACTAGCAGATCCCACTGGACCAAAATAATTCAGCTTTAACATTTAAAAATCAAAACAGTATTTAAATTATTTAGTATGTTTTTTTGCTGGGGGCTGCAGAAGCTTGGTGGTCAGTGTAGAAATCTCATGATCCTGAGGCTGTGGGTTTGAGCCCAGGTGGCATGAGGGCATCTGGCATGAAACAACTGCCTAATTTTTCATGCGAGTACGCTCCCTCCTGCCCTCTAGGAGGCGCTACAGGAGCCTCCGGACTAAGACAACCAGGTGGGAAAGCTTCTTTCCTACAGCTGTTCCGCTCCTGAACTCTGCCTCCTGACATCAGCAAAATACCTATAAACCAAGGACCTAACAACACTACCTGCACTGTTTTGCTCAACACGGCATAAATAATCTACTCTTGTTAATTAGTACACATATCAATTCATATGCCACCATATTTGGAAAATGATCATAGGATGCAAATTCATATTTCTGTAAATTAAAGTCAGTAAACTCATATCCTGTGCATTCATAACCTGTATATAGTTATACTTACAGCTATAACATATTAAAAGAATTACTGCACATTTGTAATATAATATACTGTATACACTTGTATTTCATGCTAAACACTTCTGGATGGATGCAAACAGCATTCCGTTGCCTTGTACTTGCAACATCTGCAATGACAATAAAGTTGAATTCTATTCTATTCTATTCTATTCTATTCTATTCTATTCTATTCTATTCTATTCTATTCTATTCTATTCTATTCTATTCTATTCTATTCTATTCTATTCTATTCTATTCTATTCTATTCTCACTATAGTGACCCCTGCAGTATGGAGCTGCCAAGGAAGATCATTTAATTGACAGCACAGAACCTTTTCATTTTATTTATACAGTTAGAGACAAAAAAAAAAAAGACAGAGGGAAGAACAAGTTATTATAAGCTTTTCAAATGGCTAAAGCTCGCCAAGAACCTGCCAGGTCCACCCACAGCCAAGACTCTGAAGGAAACCATAAAGAAATGTTTCACTTTTTTCACTCACATCTGAAATCATCATTCTGTTAACCAAACAGTCTTGATGATACGTGAAATAATAAATACAGCTTTCGAGAACTGGATGATCTACTTGTTGCTTTTCATTGGAACAAAATGTAATTTTAACAAGTCTAAAAATAAGAGATGTTTTGCTGCAAAGCATGTTTGGGTGTGAAAACATGATGCACTAGTGTGAACACTTTGCACGATGGTCCGTAGTTTTGTGTTTTAATTATTTTTACTAATTGTGTGAACAGACCACAACCAAAAAGTAAGCCCTAACCTCCTCAGTGTTTAACAGCTTGAACAGTTAATTTTTTTTGTTAAAATGTTTTTTTTTTCTGTTAAATAAAATCTCTGCATTCCTAAAACTTCATATTTATCCAGTTTCTGAGAAAGACTCGGTCACATAATATTACCACACAGCAAATATATTTAAGTTACAGCCTTTTTATTGTTCCTTCTCTTTAGTTTAAAGGTTTACGTAGGTTTCATAAATAAATTTAGTTCAGATCTCTTGAAGGTGAGTTTTAAAGAAACTGAGGCACAGAATCTTAGAAAGATCTCAGCAATTCTTTTAGGTTCCATTCATGTTTCTCACTGGGTTTATTACACACTTCTACACAGTTCAGAACAGAAATGAAACTTATTTCTTTAAGTATTGCATCTTTTTTTACAAACATTGCTCAAGTTGTTTCTCAAAAAAACCCTTTCAACCTGTTTTTCAAAAATAAATTTCATGATCTTTTAATTTGTTTCTGCTAACGGTGAGAAAATATAAGAGAAAATCTTACATTTCACTCACTTATTAGCTGAGAAAACAGATCACAACCAGAAACTCATCAAATTCTCATATTTACATAAAGCAACTCAAGGTCTTTGTCCAGTATTCATTTAGATGAAACACTTGCCCGGCCTAACTAAACTAATCGGCTCATTACTAAAGCTAAAACTGACAGCCACTGAACTGCATGGATTGAGGAGTTTAAATTAACAGCCAGTTTTTGATTTCTGTCATCAACAATGACGTTGGTTTTTGAAGGTTATCGGTCTGTCAGATTATATCATCAGCTTGTCAGAGCAAACCATCACATGCTTAGTTTACACAGTTTGAGGGGAAAAATACAGTCAGAACACAAAAAGGACAATTAACACAGGGGAATAATCTTTCGAACTGACTAGAGCCTAAAAATGACATTTTTTCATTTCATAAATGAAAGACTTCATGCTGAGAGCAAATCAGATTTCATCTAAAAGATGTGACATTAAAGAGAAAAAGGTCCAATAATAATGAGATTACTTGCAGCTACAGATGACCTTCAAGCAATTCTCAATCTGCAGCCAGACAGAAATAATGTAAAGTATGGATTTACAAGGACTTTAGTATCATGGACAATACAATGGCGTATGATGTTGAGATGTAGGGGTAAAAGGAGAATGGGAGACCAGTAATCACACTTGTGTTGGGTAGGAAAGTGAGGCTGTAAATTATTGCACTGTACTTGCCTTAAGATTGAGAAAATAGACAAGGTGTACATGTGAATCATATGATCAGTGATCAATGAGAAAATGTGTGCAGAATTGAAAGAAAATAGACAAAAAGATGAAGATGTAATGGACTGCAATCATGGCAGATGTAGTTACAGAGCTTATATTGACCATTTCCAATCAATTTGTTAAATTTCCCATGAAACAGTTTTTAGAAAGTCAAACACTTTAGAGTCGGTATTAAAAAAAACACTGATTTAAAAGAAAAGTAACAGGGAATAAACTATTTCAGCTGGAATAAACTTTTTTAACTGCTATATATTGATATCCTGAGTAGTGTATTCTTCATATTGGAGCTTTGGAAAATGAGTGAGGCTAATAAACCAACGGCTTCACTTTGCTGGGCTGCAGAATCATTGGACTCTGGAGCAATAAGAAGGATTGAGCAGTCTGATGAGTCCAGATAAAAGCCGTTTCAGACTGATGGGCACATCATCACAAGAGCAGAACTTGAAGTCATGCATCCAGTTTGTGAGTGAAATGCATTTGGTTTGAATTGGTGTGCAAATGAAAAGGTATTTTTGATCATCCAAATCATCATATTTAAATATTTATGCACACTAGAAGGCAGAGTTGCAATAATCTTTTCACACAAAAAACTTTGTGTTCCTTTAAAAAAAAAAACGTTCAACAGAGTCAAAACTGGCGATGTAACAAATCTGTTTCAACAAATTGAACAATGTTATCACATAAACTCGAACCCTAAAAACATTTTGTAACTAACTAACAGCATCCAGCCTATAGTAAATAAATTTACAAGAAAAGAATGCAGGGACCTTCGTGCTGCACAGATGTCTCTCCTCAGAGAACGAATCTCTCACCAAACCTCAAGATCACGAGGCCTCTTTACGTGGTCGTCTCAAAGTTTATCAAGGGATGCATGTGATCCCTGAGGGATGGATGGTAATTCAAAAACAAGAGAAGAAACAGTGACAACGTAGAATGTAATGTACTACTTAGATTAAGTTTGAAAACCTTTATGATAACAGAAGCACAAGACACCTGCTTAACCAGGCATCCATGAACATCAAATGTCAGGGGATGGTAATGGTACGCCATTTTTGTTGTATTCATTTAATGAATTTGATTTCAGGTGTTATTTTCTTTAGCTAGTTTGTGGCTAGACTGGACCAGTGTAGACTTTTATACTGCTATTTTTGTGCAACTAAGTAGTTTAGAAGTTGTACTACTCAATCAAATTGACCCATGAGTCTAAACTTGTTGAACTAGTGACCTCCATCAGTCTATCCATTATCTGCTGTTTGTTCCAGAGTCAGATCACAGCAGCAGGGTGCAAGAAGACCCAAGCGTCTTCTTCCACTACCTCTTCTTCCAGGGGATTGAAAATCATTCCCAGGCCATGCTGACAAAGATAGTCTCTCCAGGGTGTCCTGGATCCTCCCTGGAGTGTCTTCCCACTACCCCGAACACCTTCCAAGGGAGGTGTCTCGGAGGCAACCACCTCAATTGACTCTTGTCAATGTGGAGGAGCAGCAGCTCTACTTTGAGTCTCTCCTCGATAACCAAACTTCTCTTTCTATCTCTAAGAGAAAGCCCAGATACCCTGTAGAAACACTTATTCTAAACTGTTGTACCCAAGGCTTCCTTCTTATGGTCACCACCTAAAGCTTGCAACCAATGGTGAGGATAGGA